GGAGACCTAGTGTCCCGCTGTGGTTGGAGGAGTGGTGAGGGAGGACTGCAGAGGTGGGCAGGGGTCAGACCCAGCATAGTTGGGAATCTGGAGTTGTCTGTGACAGCTCTGGCCACAACTCTTGCTGGCACTGTCTTAGCTCAGCTTTTAAATACTGGAGTCCTCAGAGTTTTGCCCTGGGCCCCCTTCTCTTTATCTACATATTCCTTAGGTCGTCCCATCCAGGCCCCTGGCTTAAAAACTACCTGTGTATTAATTGCTGATAACTCGATATCTCCAGCCCTGAGGTTGTCCCTTCCTTAACACCAGACCCCAGTGTGCCTGTGTCCACTCAGCCTCTCCACTTGGATTTCTAATGGGTGTCTCAGACCTAACATCGCTGAACACGTGCCCAGTTGCTTAAGCAACAATCTAGGACTTATTCTTGGTTTCTCCATTTCTGTCACCCACCCTCCCATCCCCCCAACCAATCCATCAGCAAGTACCATCAGCTCTCTCCCAAACACATCTCGAATCCGTCCACTTCCCTCCATGTCCACTACCACTTAATCCAAGCCCGTGTCATCTTTCAGCTGGTCTCTTGCGGTCATCTCTTCCCTGGTGTCCGGGCTTCCACACCCTTCTACGATCACTGACACAGCAGCCAAAAATCAGATCATGTCACTTCTCTGCTTAAAGTCCTCTAGTGGCTTCCCATTGCACTTAGGAAAAAAATCCAAACTCAACGGGAAATCTTCATCAAGTTATCATAGTGGTAGTTGTTAACAGAGAAATAACAATAAAAATCAGCTTTGAAAACAATGCATGAATCTTTTTCAAAGTAAAAAAAAAACTTACAGGACCATGGAAGAGGAGCAAACTTGCCGAAATCTGGAGAATAGAAACCCTTCCTACAGGCAGCTCTTGGGGAGGTGCAGGTCCACGTGCGGCCCAGCTCTAGAGGAGGGACTGCGGTGCAGGCTGGAATCCTGGAGCTGCCGGTCTCAGTCTGGAGAGACGAGGTTCCCATCGTTACACCCCAGCTTTAACCACATCCCGGATCTCACCACAGCAGCTCAGCTTTTACCTGTTCATCTTATCTACTGGAGATCTCCAGGAGATGTTGTGCCAAAACCAGCCCAAGCCCCAGACCGCCGTTTAAACGAACGCATCTCCACCGAATCTGTGCACAATGGGGATGCCCAATAGAGTCAGAAAGTGTTAGAGATGTAAAGACCGTCATCAAGGAGATAGGGGTGGTATTTGTTTTTCTCTGAGAGGGAGGAACTTCCACTGAAGTCCCAGTTGCCTCAGCTCTGTGCTCTGCACTCATTAATTAATACAGATATGTTTTCCAGCCCTCCCAACAACTCTCCTCTAAGTTCTCTCACTTTCCTCAAACCCTGTTTGTTGCTACAATTGTGCTTCTAAGCAGAGGTTGCACCCTGAAGGCCTGCAAAGCTGAGTCGTGTCTTCGTGGGTGTGGGTTTGTCCTTGACAGTGTCTGGGTTTATTTTTCTGTTTGTTTTGTTCTTTAAACAAATTGGTTGCAACATTTTAAAATGAGAAGATTTAACATTAAAATCTACATTTCCAGCTTCTCCTTTACAATTGGCCACGTGACAACGCTGAGCCCACATGCTTGGAGGAAGCTGGGTGGCTCCACCTGAGCAGGGCATGTGCTCCCTGCCATGCCCTCTGCCCCACCACCCCTGCCTGTCTCCCTGGCAGCAAGACTAAGGGTCAGCTGTCAGTTATCAGGGTGCTTGCAAGGTGGGTTTTTGCTTACTTGGACCCACTTTACTCACTTAGCTGCCTGGCCCTTTGAGTATGTGAACTGGGGAGCCCAGTTCTGACCTTTGCTTCTCAGCCCATTGGCTGGAATCTGGTCTTGTGCTCTGTGATGTTTGCCTCCTGTCACTCAGTACTCTGTTGCTGAGAACGTGAAGTCTCTGGGGAGTGTTGGACAGACCTGCGTCAGCACTTGGCGGTGGATGTGGTGTGATGACTTATATGACACTCTCCAGAAAACGGCTGGGATCACCTCACAGTCTAGGTTTAGCCATAGGCTGCATGTTTTAGGCATCTTAATTCATATTGCAACTAAAGGCATATAAATCCTTTCAAAAATCACATTTGACTTCTTTGTTGCACCCTGTGTCCAATCAGTAGCCAGTTGTTGGTTCTGTGTCATCTTCAGGCTTGATTACTGCCTACCTGGATTCTTGCAGTAGCTTCACTGGTCTGACTTGAGCTGCTGCCCTGACCAGCACATCCTAGCACAGCCTTCTTTCTTTGTGTATGTGTCACTAGATCATTAATCACTTTTTAAATTTGCTTTATCTGATAAATTTGACATGTTACGATTTATAAATTTAAGGTGTATAGTGTGTTGCTTTGATACATTTATATATTATGACTGCCATTGAAGCAGTATTTGTCACATTACATCATTATACTACAGTTATTGTTGACTATATTCATTATCCTGTGCATTAGATCTCTGTGGCTTATTACTACTCGTTACAGTTTGTGCCCTTAAACAACCTCACTCTTATCCCCCACCCCCAACCCCTGGTAACTACCATTTTGCTCTGTTTTTTTACAGGTCTGACTTTTTTAGATTCCACTTATAAGTGGTATCGTACAGTATTTGTCTTTCTCTGTCTGACATCTCACTTAGCATAATTTGCTCAAGGTCCATCCATGTTGTTGCAGATGGCAGGATGTCGTCCTTTCTCATGGCTGAGTAATACTTCATTGTGTATAGGTACCACATCTTTTTATCCATTCATCTCCTGATGGACATTTCGGTTGTTTCCATATCTTGGCTATTGTGAATAATGCTGTGATAAACATGGGTGTGCATATATCTCATTGAAATCCTGTTTTAATTTCCTTTGGGTTCATACCCAGGAGTAACACAGCTATCTTTCTGGGTTAGATTTAATTTTATCATGCACCACAACTACCCAAATAGAAATCATCAATAGATGTACTTAGAATGAATATGCATGGAATCAAATTCAAGTTTAGCCTAATGTTCAAAATCTACCCAAATCCTTCTGCAGCCTCTTTCCCATCTTTTCTCTACTGTACCCAGCACACACTGTAACACTAGTCTCTGCACCTGTGCTATCTCCCCTCCAAGCCATGGCTCGTGTTTTTAAAGACATATCCATTGTTGAAGTCTCTTCAATTCCAGCTCTCTGTGACACCTTTCCAGATCCTCCGAGATTAAATTAATCTTTCCTCCCTCTGTAATCTTGGAAAGTTTTCCTGGCTCTTATCAGAGTCTGCCTTGACTTACAGTTACTTGTGTTTCTCATGCCCTAGACTTGACCCTATGGAGGGCAGGAACCATTATTTACTCATCTCTTTATTTCCTGCACCCAGCAGAGAGTTTAGCACAGGTTGAATTGAAACAAATAGAAAATTCATTTCTTTAAGCACCTTCATGCCTTGTCCTTAATGATCTGTGGCCCAATGTGACCTTCAAAATAGGATCCTAAGCCTCTTCTTTTCCAGGATAAAATTAGTTTGCTCGTTTTCAAGGAACAGTTTATATGTGTGAAATTTTAAAATACTTATTAGGAAGTGTACCACATCACCTATACTAATTCTAACAACAGTGACAGAATCAGACAAATTCAGAATCTAGGACATTTTACAAGACGGTGGGCCTAGACTATTAAAAAATGTCCATGTCATAAAAAGCCAACCAACCACCAACATGACAAGGAGAGTATCTGTGTTTTCAACAAGACATAACTAAAGGCAATGTGTGATCAGAAAACGAAAAGTCATAAAAGATATTTTGGGACAGTGGTGGAAATTATATGTGGGATATTAGTATTAAATTAATGTTACATTTCTTGGGTATAATAGTAACATTGTGATTATGTGGGCGAATGTCCTTATTTGTTAGGAGACATACACAGAATTATTTCTGAGTGAACTTTTAAGATATCAGATGGCTCAGCCAAAAAAGTGTATTTATATATCAAGAGAGGAAAGGCAAGGGTGGGAAGATATGAGTAATTCTGAAATCTAGATGGAGAGTGTATGGATATTTCATTGTATTATCCTTTCAGTTTTTCTATATGTTAAAGACTTTTTCAACACAAAAGTTGGGGAGAAAGAGAAAAGGAAGAGGCTGAAAGATCTAGTTTAATTTCCTAATTGCATTCTTAGGCTATAATTAAATAAATTAATAGCTAGGCAGTGAAAACAAAACATTTACTTGGGTCAGGTCTTACATTTGGGAGTGAAACCAGCTAGCTGTGAACCATTTACTTCGTTGTCAGAATTATTATATCAGAAATGCAGTTTTGTTGCTCGTTAGACAGACTTGTCCTACTTTACAGTTTATGCTTTCAAAGAAAATAAACTCTGAAGGAAATAGACTAGGTGTGTATCAAGGAGTGCAAGTTTTCACTGTGAATAAATTTGGAAATGTTTAACAAATCCTGACTTTTCATTATCACAAGGCTGTTTAAGTTATCTGCTATTCTTGGTCTCTATAAAAGTGCTTGTATTGATTTGCCCCCTTTCTCTAGGTGAAAAAACAAACCCTGTGCCTTTGCTTGGTTGTAGCTAAATTGATCTGGTTGATAGAGGCTGAGAGAGTATATATTGGTGTAAAAGGACAAGTGAGAGATAAGACTATGTATTTATTGCCCATTTATGTAATTACATGTGTCACTGAGGACAAAGGTCCTTAAAACAAAGACAAAAGGTGGGGTAGAAACAGCTCCCTACAGTGAGACAGATGGATTCGCGGTGACTTCCCTCTTTGTGAATTTTTTTCCGCACGGCTGCATATCCTTCTGGTTTTACAATCATTTTTGAGAGCTTGTCCGTCTTTCTGGGACAACTCGATGGCTGAAGACATGCTTCACTCCAGTACACAGAAAATGAAGGTTTTCAGGAGCAGTCCTCGGCTTGAGTTGAGAGGACAGCAGGCACCCGCGGGGTCTGACAGCCCGTGTCTTGGGGGACGACTCTGGGACCCCAGCGCCATGGACGTGGTGGGCGAGGACGAGGCCCTGCAGCGGTTCTTTGAAGGTAAGAGACTGGTTCCCGACCTGGAGCCGCTGCTTCTGAGAAGGGTGCTGCTCACCCTCGCTGCTTCCCTTTGTGGAGTTCACCTGAGCCTGGCTTTGGGCCATGTGCTATCGTGCTACCTGTCCTGAAGTCAGAAGTGCAGCTTTATTTGTGACAAAATCAATGGTATAGGTAGTCACTTAGAAAAATACAGCATTTCCGTCTTATCGCTTGGTTGTTAAAAGAATCAAGGAGTCATCTATGTCGCTAGTATTTGTCCCTGTCCTGGATTTTATTCCTTCTAATCTGCTATGTTTCAAAAATTATAGATTTGTCTTATCTCTAAAATTATTGAAGATAGCACAAGAAGAATGTAAGAGTCTGCTTAAGACAGTTTTTTTCTTAGTATAATTAAGTACAAAACAGCCTAAAACAGCAAGGAACACCTCTTCTCGCAATCTCATCTTCGTTTTCCACAACACTTACAAAATGTGTAACTGCATAATTATTTGTTTTTAAGTTAAGTATCTTTCTTCCCAAGGGAGAGGCTACTACAGGACGTGGTTACACAGATTTTCTTTCTTCTAAAGACCTAACATGGCAGTACAGCTTCTCCTGTTCAGCTGGCTTGACATACTGACGTGGGTCTGTTGAAAATGTCAGCAAAGACTTGCCATCTTGTGGCATCTTTCCCTGTGCCATTCCCGGCGCGGCTGCATTTCCTTCTCAGGTAGCCCCGCTCAGTCTTCCAAGGAAGGGAAATGTGGCCACAGCTCTTCCCATTTCAAGGTATTTCCCAGGAGGGAGTATGAGAAGGGCCAAGGGCAGACCTGCTCACCCAGAGTCCAGACGTTGAGGAAGTGCTTGTGATTAGTAAAGTGTCCGACAAATACTAGATGTTTAAAGGTTGAATGGAATTGACCCAACACCAAACAGAGCTGCGCACTAAAGAGTGGTCATACCAAAGGAAGAGTGCGAGTGTAGGTCACTACAGAAGGAATCAGCACAATCCGGTAGTTTCTGTGGCTTGCATTTTGCATTTGGAATATAAGACCAAGAGAACTGCCGCGTGTCTCAGCCCTGTGACCCATCCACCGCGTGTTCTGTCTCTGACAGTGGCCAGGTCAAGGTGCCCACCTGGGTCATGCTTGGCACACAGTAGGTACATGTAACATTACTCGATTGTTGTTGCCTGATTTTATGTCCTGTGTAACTTTTATTTTGACGGTAGATAGTGAGCTCCAAGCTACAGTTAACAACTGCTTTATTTTAGAGAAACCACTAATTCTTTCTATAAATGCGAAAAGTCTACTCAGTTTCTTTCCAGAGCTGGAGAAGGTCTGAAAAGTTAACCTGGTCTGCCTGCCGTTTGGGGAAGTGCAGGTGTACTAGGGTCCCTGTACTGTCCTTCTTTGTGTCTCTGGGAATGCAGTTTCCACAAATCCCCTGTGTAGCTTGTCACAGTATCCGATCATTATAATAGCCTTTCTTAGTCCAAAGCACACTCTGTGGCTCCATGAAGCCCTTTTCATGAGGGGTCATTTCTCCATGGGAAGAGAATACAGTGGTCAGTGTTTCTCTTACGTTATCTTTGAATGATGGGTGGAGAAGGTGTAGACTGTAGAAATGAAACATGGAGGCACCAGTGCAGTGATCCTCCTCCTCTTGAAAATCATACGGCGAGTTGTCAATTTTTTATCACCTCCAGTATTCAGCAGATGTTGATCACCTACTGTGTGCGAAGTCCAACAAACACCTCTTTCAAACGGTAGCCTGTAGGGTTTTGCAGCTTTTCCCTTAGAGCATGACGACTTCCACGCTCAAACATTCCTTGGAATGAGGACATACAACTAGATGTGTGTCTAACGAGGGCCGGTTGTGTGTGCAGTGCTCACCTTTGTACGTCACTTTCTAATTAAATGTGATCTTGTATAAAAAACCAAGATCTGAGAATCAAGAAGAGTTTTGGCAATTTGTTACCCATCTGAAAGCTGTTTTTCTCCATTTCCTCAGACTCTTCATTTGAAGAAACTAAGCCTTAAAGAATGTGTTTTTCCTTATGAATACTTCTGTATTAAAAGTATCTTAATTAAAAGGATTGACAATATCGTCTTGTATTAAATGGCCTTGACTTCAAAGCCATTGATGATCTTAGTTTTTATTTTAAACTTTCGAATATGCCTACATCTTTATGATGTGTCTCAGGACAAGGACGAGAACACAGAGTGGGTCCAGGCAGCTGGCAGTTCTAATTCTAATTCAAGTTCCCTTCCTCCCTGACGCAGTAGGTGGGCCTGTTACCTACAGTAGAAGAGGCGGATCAGGTACTCTAGGGACCCCAACATCCTCGGGAAATTCAGATGCCGTGCGAGATGTTTGGCTTCTTCAGCAGAACTGGTGCTGCTGCAAGAGAAAGGTTGTCAGAAGAGAGGCCATTATTTTAACAACCGAAAATTGGTTACAACTGAAATTTCTAATAGTGGTGGATTAAATAATTTATGGTTCTTCCATGTAATGGAATATTTTGTAGCTATTAAAAATGATGATAAGGAAAAATGTTTATGATATAAAGGGGCAAAGTAGATTACAAGTAGGTATATATAATACAATTGGATATATATATATCTTTCTAGAATAAAGTTTATTAAAACTAATTTGAAAGCAGTTAATATATATACATTCACGCACACAAATACATAGAAAAAACTGGATGAATACCCTTCAAGCATTAATAGTAGTTATCTCTTAGTGGTAGGAATATAGGGATTTTTATTTTCTTCATACTTTATTATCTAAGTGCTTCATAGTTAGAATGTACTAGGTTATAACCAGGTTATCTTACATAAAGGAGAAAGAGTTTAATTCAGCAAAACTCTTCTGTTTAAGACTTTCTCTTCTGTGTAAAGAAAAACTGTAAAAGACTTTGACACGGATGCAAAAATTACTGGGTGTCTTCCACGGAAAACTGTGTCTAGATCTTCTGGGCGATCAGATTCTTTGGGATTTGCACCTTTAATTATTTTAGAGCTACGTATTTTAAAACATTGTAGATATCTGATATCAATGCAAATTATTTTTATCCATAGATATGCAAATTAGTTATGGTCTTAGGGGATCAATAGTTTCAGTAAAAGCCAGTTTTGCATTGATTTGTAAACTCATTCCATGGCATATCCAGATCTAGATATCTATCTACCTATAACTGTATCTATACACCATATTTGTATTTATATATCTATCTATACATATATCTATTTGTATTTATATATCTATCTATACATATATCTATCTAGATATCTAGATCTAGATATATGTCTGCTGTTTGAATTCTATCTACCTCTTATCTGTCCATCTATCTATCCGTCCATCTTTTATCTACTTACCTATCTATTCATTTATCTATCGATATATCTGTTGTTTGAATTCTCCTTGAGCCAATTGTAACATCTTCCTGCTTCCTTCACTGATGATGTAAATAAAATCTTTGACATAAGTTCATCTTATATTTGTATGAGAATCGTGATTTTGTCTTTAAAAATATATATCTTTTGGGCTGGCCCAGTGGCGTAGTGGTTAAGTTCACGTGCTCTGCTTCGGTGGCCCGAGGTTCGCAGGTTTGGATCCCTGGCGCGGACCTAGGCACCACTCATCAAACCATACTGTGGCAGTGTCCCATATACAAAATAGAGGAGGATGGGCACAGATCTAATGTTAGCTCAGAGCTAATCTTCCTCAGCAAAAAGAGGAAGATTGGCAACAGGTGTTAGCTCAGGGCTACTCTTCCTCACCAAATATATATATATCTTTTAACATGCAAAGTTTTAAGTTAGTTAACTTGGAAACTGTCCATTTCCCTTGCGTGTGAACCACATTAATAACATTTATTGGGTGTTCACCACGTGCCAAGCGCTGTGCTGTTCACTTTTCATTCATTATTTCCTTTAATTCTTACAATGACCCTCTGGTAAAGAGGAATAAGAAAATGAAGTACAGTAAATCCCATTTCCCAGTTTTCTTCATTTGTTTTTGAAAGCTGTGACCTTGCGTTCTTGTTTCCTTATGGGTATTTCTTTTGGACTACTTTGATAACAGAGGACTCATCTTTTATTCCCAAGATTTTTAGAACAATTTATAAAAACTGATTTGAGAAGAGTATTTTATTGTTCGTTACATTTAATCTTTAAAGAGGACATTTTCTGAATTGGTGAGAAGCTGCTCAGTTCATCCTCCTCGTGATGTCCTGGAGTAGGTCCTCCAATGCTTGTTGGCTCATCCTGAGGCGGAAGAGGGGATTCCTGCCCTGACTGGGCGGGGTGGGTAAAACGACACAGGAAGAGTAGACACACGGAGAAGGGCAGGAACCACCCGCAGCTCCTGAAATCTAAGAGGAAGGACATCCACTCAGCAAGCCTCTGTCAGGCAAGCTTCAGACGTTTTCTGCCCTGTCTCACTGCTTAAGGTTTGCATTTCTAGGCAGCTGTTGTTAAAAGAGGATGGTAGGGATGCAGTGCAGGCAGAAACAGCCACTGCTCACAAGCTGTACAGGAATACCACGAGGTGCCACACGTGAGCGAAAATGGGGAGATTGCTGCAGGCTCTGGAGCAGAACAGCAGTGCCTGAGTGCCTGACCTGATGGGATGAATCTAGAAAGGCTTCGAGGGGAGGCAAGCAGAACTGCTGGGTAGAGGAGAGATGTAGCTTGGAAAGGTGCCCAGATGGTGTTGGCACTTATATGAGTAATATGTATAGGATACATGAGTGAAAGAACAGTGCAAAGGACTATTCTATTCAACACACCGCTGTTGAGCTCTGGGTTTGGAGAACCCAGCGAGTTCAAATACAGAAGGAGGAGAACTTGCCCAGTAGCAGGAATGTGCATGAACCGAACACACCGAGGAGCTGAGACAGTGTTGCCTGTTGGTGGAAAGTGTCAGATGCCTTTGTTACCAGAAATAAAGTGGTAGCTCTCCTAAGTGGTCCCTGAATATTCTTTATTCAGAAGTGAAACCGACTCTGATTG